AATAGGATCACAAGTCCGCATCTTGTACAGCAATTAACCACTAAGAAGAATATATGCAGTGTATTATTTGTTCAAACTGTACTTCCGATTTGATTTGAAACTGTCTCATTGCTATCTGTTTATCAATAAAACTATAGAAAAAAAAACCCTATGTATTAAAAACCTCTGATATTAAATAAGTATAAACAAAGCTATAATTAATATATAAATTTTAACAATTAGTGGAGAAGAGAAAAATACAAGTAAATAAACCTTTTATTCTGCATAAAAAAAAAAGTCCTTCGTTGTTGTAAGAATAGGAGTATTTTTATATGACTAGTCATAGTTCCATAATTTTATGCTTTTTAAAAAAAGATTTCGTCAGTTGGACTTTACTATCAAGTTTATGAAAGCATATTATTTGAAAGCCTGAATTTAACCCATGTAGAATAATGTGCTACTGTAAAATGAATATTGTTATAGCATATACTAAGGATATTAATAAGCTAATGAACTTCATAGTCTAAAGTGCTGTGTATATTGGAATAAATCTATTCCAATAAAGCTATTTTTAGGTAAACTATTTTGAATAATGAATTGATTTCATATTTCATTTTTTTGTTAGTCTTTAGTTTTACGTGCAGGACATTTTTAAATGAATTTTGTGGTTTTGTGGTTTTTTGATTGCTGATGTATAGATATTCTGCTTCAAGTCATTGTTGATTTGGTTCCTTTTCAAATGGAGATCTCTTATTTCATATAATAGTCTGTAATGGTTTTTAAAAGCTAAAGAGGGTTAATCAGTTATCCAGATCTGAATATTACAAGTTTTCAGCAAAAGTGAGATTTCTCACTTCTTTCTCTGAACCTCCACAGTTTATCTTGTTTTTATACTATTTTATATATAAATTCTTTCCATTTTACTACTTTGTGATAGATTCTTTCAGTGCAAATGATTTTCTTCCATTTTTGGATTTTCTGTAGCAATTTGTATTAAAGGAGGTTTCTAGTAGCCAGGCTTGTAGCAAGTGATCCCAGCATTCGGGAAGCCGAGGCAGGAGGATTGCTGCTGGCTGAAAGCCACCCTGTGCTACACTGTGGGTGAAAGGCCAGCCCAAACTACATAGTGAAACCCTGCCTCAAAAAAACAAAAATAGATAAACGAAAAAGTAGGTTTCTAGTTTTAAATCAGGTTTTCTATTTAAATGTTTTATTTGAAAATTAAGTAACATTTTGTTATAAAATACCAAAATAAAAGAATAGTGAAAATGCCTATTTTTTTTAAAGTTAATAGGGTGATTACTTTCCAAATACTCTCTTCTAATATATTGAGATTATATTGTCTCTTGAGTACTTGGGGAACACATTTTAGCCGCACTATGTTTTTTAGAAATTATTGTCATCACTTCCCATTCTGCTTTTCTTGGTAAAGAACTACTGCTATATAGCTAATCTATATATTTTGACCAATAGACAGTCCTCCAATGATACCTGCAAGAGGTGTCTAAATTGGTCTACTGTTAAATATTTTATTATGCTAATACACAAGTTTTACTTATAGTTCATAAAGTATAAAAACAAATTATCCTTTCTGACCTCAAATCCTATTGCTCTTCTTAACATTGTAAATGCTACCACTTTAACATAGGCAGTTTCTTTTTTCTAAAAGTAAAATTTGAAATGATCTGTGATTACTAGATGACATTTCCGTGTCATCAATCACCAGAAGAGCCATGGTGTTTTTAAAAAATGCTTCAGAATTAGAGGAAATATGCATTGACTGGGGGTGTAGACTGTTCATTTTATATTGTGGGGGAAATAAGTCATATTAAAAATCCAGTGTGATGATATTCATTCAAACCCTAAATGTTAGTTTTTCTGAGTGTATCTATCTCATTTCCATACACACAGTAAATTCTTATAATTGAAGTTTGAAACCAAGATCTTCATAATGTAATTGTTCCCATTGTTACCAAAGTGCCCTTCAGTAAACAGTCCTTTTTCAACAAATATTCAAACTCACAGAAATCCATATTTTGAAGTTATATTACCCTAATACTCAAACATTCAGAAGTACTGTCTTGAGAATCCAGAGTATTTTGAGCACTAAGAGGTAAGACATGCTAAAGAACAGACTGCTAGAAATCAGCTCTTTTTCATACTTGGAATATTATGAGTAACTTGTGCCTCTTATACCTGTTAAAATTATTTTGGATTGTTTTTATCTGCTTAAACATTGTAAGCTGTACATAAATGAAAATAGGGCTAAGCATGTCCAATTTTCTAGATCACTTGCAAGGTTTTTTATACTTTATTTTATAGGCAGCATAACTTTATGAATCACAAGTATCAACTATCACATAAAAACAGTTTAATGATATTCTCAGATTCTAAATGTATTTGTATGAGGATAACTGTACAAAAATGTGATGATGAGTATTGTAATATGCAATTTTATGATTGAGAAGTCTTCTGTTTCACTTCGACTTGTTTGCCAGAATAATCGCTTTTAAAAATGAGTTGGCAGCACGTAAATTGTAAGTGGAAATCTACAGTTAAAAAGATTTGGGGGGCTGCCCCTTAGCTCAGTTCTTTAAGTGGCTGCTTCAACAAAGCAGTCAGGCTCAGGTTGCTGTGGTTCGAGCCCCACAACTCAAGCCAGCCAAACCTGCCCTAAAGGCATTCTGAGCCAGCCCCCCACCCAAAAAAAAAAAAAAAAAGGTTTAAAGATACTGCTCTTTATGGTCCTTATTTAAAATGGATTTAATAAAGCAAGAAAACTAAAAAATTTTTGCAACAAGAGATTTTAACATGTTCAGCTATACAGTAATCATTTTGTAATGTACATAGATATTAAAATATCATGTATAACCTAAATGTATCATTTTTATTTGTAAATCATAACCTTGCTAAGCCTGAGGAAAAATAGTGTTAATTATTGTACTGTGATAATAGTGTTCAGGTTTCTTTTAAAAAAATGTTGGTATATTGAGAATGTAAGCTGAAATATTTATGACTTAATAATGAGTATAGTGTTTTAAAATATCTAGGAGAATCAGACATGGTAGTGCATGCCCATAATCCCAGCTTTTGAGAGACTTGAGACAGAAGAATTGCCAGGAGTTTGAAGCTAGCTTGAGCTACACAATGAGTTCAAGGCCAGTGAGGAGTATATTTAAGACCCTGTTTTAAAAACAAAGGGCTGGCCAGATAGCTCAGTGAATTAAAGAGGATTAAAACACCTGCTTAGGTAGAGCGAATTAAAGCGCCTGCTTAGGCAGAGCTCAGGGGCCAGGGTTCGGCCCCCCTTCCCCATTCCCACCACCGCAGCCCCTACTACCACCACCACAAGCCGTGTAGGCCCCACCCCCAGGGCGCTCTGAGATGGCGATAGAGACTGGGCATGGTGGCTTGCGTTTGTAATCCCAGTGCTTGGGAGGTTGGAAACAGGAGAATCACTATGAGTCTGAGCTACGTAGTGAGACTCTGTAGACCCTGTACTAAATACATTAAAAACAAAAAATGTAGGAGAATGGGTGATAGATAAAAATATAGGCAAAATAAGATTTTGTAGGATTTGCTAATTGTTGATAGAGAGGTAACGTGTTTTATTTCATCCATGTAGCCTTGATTTTATGGCCATTTCATGCTTTAATCTTGAAGGAGAAATATCACTTTATATATTTTATGATTTCATCATCTATAATGAGTTATACTCACTGTAGATACTCATCTGGCTTACAGTTTTAAAATGTGGTAAGAGAAGACCCATCTTGTCCCCCCTCGTATCTTTCTTTCACTGCCAGCATCCCTGCTTCCTATCACGATGCATAGCCCCGGCCCCCATGTGTGCCAGTGTCTACACTCTGCTCTTGTTCTGCACTAGGCTAGATGAGCATCCTCCTCAAGGGAGGCCCTTTAGTTCTGGTTCAGTCTCCAGGCTGTGATGACCAGGATGGCAGCAATCCTTGTCCCACTCCTGTTTCTAGCATCAGAGTCAGAATAACATCCTAAAGCCCCAAGAGTACAATGGGAAACTTAGAAATAGTCACGAGAGAAGTTGACAGTGAAGTGAACAAGAAGTTCTAGGGGGTAAAATGTTTGTTTTGGTTATAGAGCTGTATTACATTTGTTAGGTTGTCTTTTTTTGATGAGCATTTTATTTCTTTTGTTTGTTTGTTTTCCCCAGCAAGTACTGCTTTAGAGTAAAGTTAACATTGAGACAGGGTTGTGCTATACAGTTCAGCCTGGCCTTGAACTCACTTTATAGCCAGGCTGGCCTCAAACTCACAATGACCCTCTTGCCTCAGCTTCCCAAATGCTGAGAGCTGGGATTATAGGCATGCACCACCACACTCAGCAGTTAACTTTTTTAAAAAATATGTTTAGTACAAAGTCTCACTACATAGATCGGACTCCCAGTGATCCTCCTGCTTTCAGCCTCCCAAGTGCTGGGATTACAGGCTTATGCCACCATGCCCAGTCTCAGTCACCATCTCAGTGTGCCCCAGGGGTGGGGCCAGCACAGCACGCTGGGGCTTAGTTTTATTTTTATGACATAAGAAAATGGAAATCCTTATGAAATAGCAGTGTGCTAGCTACATTTTTGTAATAATCACATTTAGTAGTGTTACTTTTGTTATGTGGTTTTGAATAGGTACAAAACTAGTATTTCCAGAACATCTTGTACAATTTACAAAGGAAATACATTTCAAAATCAGCAGAGTACTGTCCCAATAGAAATACATTTTGAAAAAAAAATACATTTTGAATTGACATAACAGTCATTTACTAAATTTTCTGTTCTCCATGCTTTACATTTTAGAAAAATTATAAAATTTGTATCTGATGTCATGCTTCTCACAAATGTGAAAAGTTACTGGATTTTTAAAGAAAACTTCCAGTCCGTAGAAAGAAAATCTTTTCATTTTCTTTAACTTTTTTTATTTATTTTTTATTTTTTTATGATACTGGGGATTGAACTCAGGACCTTACACTTGCCAGGCAACTGCTTATTCTACTGAGCTATCTCCCCAGCCCAGAAAATTTTTTTGTACACTGTGGGATTCTTACTTAACTAAGACAAAAAATGATTAAAAAAATAAGCATCCTACAAAGCAAAAAGTGAAAACATTTACTTCTACTAAAACCTGAATATTGAAAGACTTTTGTTGAGAATTGTACTTTCTGTGGAAATTTGAATGTCTGTGACATCATCTATACTATTCATAGAATATGTAATCTTAGAGTATGTTTAATTGAAAGATAAGCATACTTACCTATAAAACAGATTGTTTTGTTACTAGGAAGGGATTTTGGCTTATATTTAATAACATACTAATCTCTTGCACAGAATCTTCCTGTTACCCGTATTTTAGACAATCTCATGGAGATGAAGTCAAATCCTGTGAGTAGCATTTTACATTGAGCTTGTAAATTGTTGTGAACTAATATGAAAAATGATAAAATGATATTTAATTTATTGTAATCTTAAGGGAATACATCAGAGAAAGGAAAGAGCCCATGTTTTCAGAGAGCCTTTTTAACCTTTATCACAGATAATCGAGAATTGGTTTTCTCAGCTGCCAGAACAATTCTATCCAGTTTCATCCACATTAAATGTAGGTTACATTCTGTATTTGTAATTAGAAGTAAAATATCCTGATGCGTAAGTTTCTATAAATGAAAAATAACTAGTCTCCTTATTTGGTGCAGTGTAATGATAACTACTCTTATTTTTAAGAAAACTGAATTAGGAGATGAATGCATAAAATAATTTTTAAATGAATGTATTCAGATAGTGGTAAATTCTCTTGGGCTAAAGAAAATAAGTTAAAAGAGAAATTGTTTGCTGAATAAACAAATGAATAAATATTTTTAACATTTACTTAAAGAATGGGTTTCTAAGCTGTCTTTCGACAACTGAAAGGAACATAAAAATCCTCACAATCTGTTTCACCAAAAGTACTACCATGTTACTAGGGCAAGCAACAGATGCTTATATTTGTAAGAGTCTGGAATCAAAAAAAGCACCGTGACCCTACCCCATCAGAACCCTAGGTTGAGTTGCTCTGAATGAATCACTACAGACTTGGCAGTGAGAGCTTCCTGCTCCAGACCCAAAAGAAAGATTAATGTGACATTTTTGATAATTGATAAAGTGTAATTATAATAAGAAATTAACCCAAGCAAATTTTAAAATTCATTTATAAGAAAACGAAGATACACTAAAACTTCCCTAAAAAGGCCAGTTGATAATACAAAAGGAATGGAACAGTTATGTGTAATGATAAGCTAACAAGGCCCAGGTGCTTCCATTTGAGGATCAGAATAAACATGTTGATAGTTAATAAAGTAACAGACTTTGTCACTGTGTCCTAGAATGTAGGAAGAGGAGGTTCTAGAAAAACCTCAGAAAAGTATAAATTTATTACTAGTTGTCTTAAAGAGCACAGCTTCATAAAAAGCAATAGATTTCTGAACATTATCCCAAACAATAGTGTTGAAAGTATAAGTAAATGCAGAACCTTACACAGATGCTGAACACATGAGGGCTTAACGTTTGTGAAGTGTGGTTACTGTCCTTCGACTTGATGTTGGGATGAAGAGTGAGAACAATAGCCTGCATTTATTGTGTACTTACCACGTGTCTAGACCCACTAAAGCATTTTTTATGTTATATCATTTAATTTTCAGTAGACCCTTCCAATAAGATACTAGGATTATCCCTTATTTTATAGATGAAGAGGACTGAGACACAACAGAGATCAATTAATTTACTTGAGGTCAAACAGTTAGTAAATGGTTGGGATTTTAACTACTGGCCAAATTTGTTACCATTGTGCTAGTTTGATCGATCAGGTAAGAACTACGAACTTGAGGAATCACAGAACTGTAGAGTTCAAGGAAACAGAAGTCATTTTAACAATGGAGGCGAAGCAGCAAAGGAAAGTGCACTTCCCGAGTCCCACTCCTGGAAGCAGACTTCGATCCAGAGACCTACCACCTCTGCACTCTTGCCTGGGGCTCACTTCCGCACACACTTTCCACATTTCTATCATAAACATGTAGATGGCTAAATCGTCTTATCAAATATTTCTCCATGTTGTAAAAGTTCACTTATCAGTTCTGTTCACTTTATAACTGAAGACACATTGCTACATGTATTTTAATTAGAAAAAGTAAAAGTGTTCCATTTAGAAAGCATTTCCTCGTTTATCTGCTAGCTGAGATAGCTGCCTGCTCTCTCTTATCCCCTCCCTCTTCCCAGACCATTTATTTGGAGGCACTGAGGGGGCTAACAAAGTGTACTAGGTTGCCCTGGCCGCTGAGCTTGCTGTATCTCATCTCAAATGCTTCAGAATGTTGCAATCTAATTTTAGATTCATTTGTATCATTTATATCATAGTCTTTGATTTGTCCCAATTGAATAAATCGAAGTTAAGATTAGGTATCAAATAAGTTTCATCTTGCCTTGTAAGTGTGCTTGGTGGTTGTAGTGGTTCCCTGGAGCCAACACGGTTCCTTCAGGGATTCTGACACCTCATGGGGTTTACTGAGACTGCTGTAATAGATCCAAGTAGCCACCACTCAGTGCAGGTCAAAATAGTAGATACCCAGATATTATGTTTGTTATTCATCAGGTTTTGGTTAGACCATTCATATGCCAGGGGTGAAAAATGAGTTCTTTGGCTAATTCTGCAATAGAAGGAGAAGAGGACAAAGTTTGGGAAGTACTTATTTCAAGTAGTAAAGCAGTACTTTCCTTTAATATCAGTACATTTCCAACTCCATAAAGGAGCCCAATCCGAAAGCTTCAGGTAAGAAAGGTTGTGGACAGTATTAGGTATTCTGTATGGTCAGTAAAATCATGGGCTTACAAAGATAGATCTGTAGATCAAAAGTACTTAAATACATAACTATTTTCAGGAGTATAAAACATGTTTTTGAGAAGCATAGTGATTAAAAACTTGGGCAGCAAAGTCAAATTGCCAGGGTTTTCAGGTATCGGACTTCCATATTTAGTATGTTGGCCTTAGAAAAATTATATAGCCTCTTGGTTCCCCAAATTTGCCCATCTGAAAAATGTGAATAACATTAGTAACTAACTGAAAGACTAGAGACTGAGTAATTTCATGTAAAGCAATTAAGGTTTAGCACATAGTAACTGCTCATTAAATTTTAGGGTTAGTGGTTATACAATCTGCACAGTTGATTCATCAACATGATATAGTATGTCAGACCATGACTGTCTTAGAGAAATTCCATAGTCATTGTAAATTCTCTTTCTTCTTTTTAAATAGGAAACTGATGACTATCGATATTTTGATCCCAAAATGCTGAGGGGCAATGACAGGTAAGCAGCTTTCATGTTAACATGATTTGTTGTGGGATTTCTCCTCAGGAATGAAATGATTGGGATTTTTTTATTATAAAACAATACTGGTGGGCCACGGAGATGGCTCAGTAGAATAAGTGCTTGCCTGGCAAGCTCACAGGCCTGAGTTCAATCCCTAGTTCCGCAAAAAAAAAAGAAAAGAAAAAATACTGATTATTACTACAAATTCAAACTACATAGAAAACTGTGTAAGGAAGCAGTATGTATTTAAACATTGTGACTCAGCTAATCACTGAATCACAATGGTAATTATAATATAGTAATTATGCGTAGTTTTTAATAACATCAATATTTTATGAGAAGACAGTAATCAGATAAATGTATTTCTGTATACTTGAAAATAAAACAAAATAGTGTGGGGAGGAAAATTTGGATAAGGTGTTTTTAAATGAGTGTTCTTATTGGACCAAATGAAAGAGGCGTTGTACTATACACCAGTGATTTACTTATTTATTTTTTAATATAATGGATCTGAAACCCAAGTCCCTGTGAACCATTACTACAAAGGCACTTTATGACAACGAAGCAGTCTAAATTTCTGAATTTTATGACGCACAAGGCATCGTGCTATGGAAAAAGAGCCCACAGGTTACAGAAGAAAGAATAGTGGATGGGTGTGTTTGCTTTTCCCTTACACTTGGGGATCTTAGAGCTTCATACCTGCCCCCTCCCCCAAGCTTTCACATCATTGTGGGTCATCAGAATACCACTGAGGGTGATCAAGGCTTGTTATTAATTTCTTAAGCTGTTTTGTTATTTAAAGTGTTACAGCTTAGAGCTGGTAAGAAAATTTGATAAATTATGGGGAGGAAAGATGAGGAGAGCCTACCACAGGGGCATTTAGAAGTGATAAAAATGTTCTGAAATTAGAGAATGATGATTATACAACTCTGCAAATATAATAAAAACCATTCATTGTACCCTTTTTCCTATATTCATAATTTTCTAGCTTACATTATTTTCTTCTTGGACTGTAGATAACAAGTAGATATGCTTTGCTTCCTAGGAGCTGAGGAATTTTTAAATCTTGACCGTAGCATCTGCATGATAGGAAGAGCATTAGCATTGATTGATACGACAAGATAGGCTCAGACTTTCATTTGTAAAATTTCTGGTTTTAATAACTAGCAGTACTGTGCTCCCCCAGCTTCATCTCTGCTCATCCCATGTCTGCTCCCAGAGCAACTTGGAGTGTTCTGAGGGAAGTCAAGCACTTGGATCAGGTGGACTTCCAGACACCTCTGTGGAGTAGACAGGCCACTGAAAGGAAGAGAAATGGAAGAGCTATATTTAGCTGCTGAACAATTAAGAGATGACAGTACTTCTCTCAGTGATTCTCAAAAATTACTTTTGAGGGAAATCTAAGCTGCCCTCGTAAAACACATCATGCCGCCTATTTAAGCACTAAAAGCAAAGTCTGACACGCAAAACTTCACAAAGTGTCTTTAATAAAAGAAAATATTTTAAATATATAATAAAAATAACAGGTGACAGCAAAACACAAATCCCTTTTCTTATTTTACCTTTGCTTCTTTTGCCGTATTACGTGGTTTTTTTCTTCAGTTTTTCCGCAAATATAGATCCCGTAGATTACATGAATATTGTTTTGAACATGGTGAAAACTTACCACATGAAACACTTGCTTCATCACTTCACGTATATTCACACTTCCAGTCTTTCTCAAGATAGCTGCTATTCAAGCTTCTAAAATCATATTTCAAAATTAATAAATCATCCCATTCCCTCTAAGACACTGAGATAGCTACTTCTAGCTAGAAAGCTAGCTGGAAAGCTGAAGGGTCCACCACTCTCCTCAGAGCTCAGAGGGAGGACGAATCATAGGTATCTGCCTAGCAGTGTTCACAGGTATATATGAGAGTGTGTTTCTTGTTTCTGTTTTCCTTGCAATGAAAACCATGAGTGAAATTTTCATTACAGTTCTTCTTTATTACAGCTCAATTCCTAGAAACAAAAATCCATTCCAAGAGGTAAGGTTTCTACAAAAATTATCTGCTCCTAGAAAAAAAAGATTAACCAAGCCATCTTGAATATATGTGTCATAAATCGGACTTTATGATTAGTGCATGCCAATCTTGATAAATCCTACTCTGTACACTTGTGATTTTTTTTTTTAATTCTCAGGAAATATATTTTCCTGAATTATAAATCTGTTTAAACTTACAATATTTGAAGTTTTAAAATGGCAAAACTAATTCACAGTAAAGGATTGCAGTGAAAATTCTATGTGTTTGGACCTTCTAAAGTTGTATTCCAAACATTTATAAACATGATATGATTATATTTGCATTTGAAAATACAGAAAAGCTTCTTAGTAATAGTAAATACTGTATAGTAAATAATATATTTGAAATTATATAAGTGCTAGATTTTCTAATTTCCTCTCTATAATAGATAGAAATTTGAAAATGTCCTTCAGACAAAACCATTTGAATTTATTTGCTATTACTTCATTGAATAATATAGTTAAGTTTCTTCTAAAGGTTCTGAAAACTTTTTGACATTCAACAGACATTAAAATTTTAAATGGATATACTTTTTAGAAATAAAGTTCTTAAATAGCAAATGGGTATAGCCTTTGAATAGCTAACATGTTTTACCTAAATTGGAAAATAGGTTCCAGTCTAACATACAGGTTGCTTGAAAGTTAAAATTGTATTTTCTGTTCTTTCAACTTAACTATTTCTTTCTCTGTTTACATTTTTAGGCGATTGTTTTTGTGGTGGGAGGAGGCAACTATATTGAGTACCAAAACCTTGTTGACTACATAAAGGTACATTTAGTCTTATTATTCTGTCACTTGGTGATTTCACATCTTTCGAATACATTCTCTGCTGGCTATCCTGACCCTTACGTTACTAGTTTCTTATGAGGCAGTGCAAAGCTCTTGTACATAGGTCACACGTAGTGCATATGCCCGTAGTCCAGACACTTGGGAGGCTGAAGCAGCCCAGGAGTTTGCAGCCAATGAGGGATAACAAAAATATATCAAAATATCTGAAGGAAGTGGGTTGTGGTGGCAAGTGCCTGTAATCCTCGCTACTCATACAGCTAAATCCTTTAAAGCAGTTTCTTTCCCTTTCAAGATATTTGTTGTACCTTTTGGGTTTTATTTACTCTTTCAGTTTCTTAACACTAGGGAGACAGTCAGCTGGGAAGGGAGAAAGGAGAAAAGAAAGAAGGGGAAACATATACATATACATATAGGATGGCTTGGAGCTGCACTGCTATTTCTGCCAGCGCCCTGAAAGGAGCAGTTAGTACTCACACGG